GTGCCGGCAGCTCCACATCCCAGTCATCCAGGAATCCTGTGACTCCTGAGCCTGAGTACTGTGTGATTGGCAGCAGCACAGGTGACAGGCTGGCCTGCAGGAGGAGAACAGGTGGAGTCTGTCTGGAGACATGGCAGCAGGTGCTTCCAGGAGCCAGGCCTGTCCTGGCCTGGGAAGGGGGCAGAGGAGGCAGGCTGCCTGCAGCCAGCACCAAGCATTCCACCAGCCCCTGGGGAGTGTGTGGGGCAGGTGCAGCGGGTGAACTCGGACTGGTGGGGTGGTGGAACATCCCAGAGGAGCAGGGGGGAGGAGGGCGGTTTGCAGTTTACGAGGAGCGGGGTGGGGTTTGCAGATGGCCGGGAGTTGTGGGGCAGGGTTTGCAGCTGGCCAGGCACTCTCGGTGGTAGTGGGGAGGCTGAAAACTCCCCTGCTCCCAGCCAGCTGCAGCCCCCCGGTCCCGTGGGATGCTCTACCACCTCATCAGTTTGAGTTCACCAGCCATGCCTGAAGTGGGGATGTGGGGCTCAGCCTGTGGCTGCCTGGACTTAGGCCTGGCCATCTAACCTACCATGGTCCATGGACACCCATGCATGCACAACCCCCAATCTGAGGCCAGGCAGCACATGCCCCTCGATACAGAACATCTTATCTCAGAAATGTTGCAAACTCTCACAAATAGCTTCTTTCTCCTGGTTCTGCAGGTTCTGTAGCTGCATGTGGGGGAGAGGCAGCAGTTGGATGGCAGCTCAGGGTCAATTCCAGCCTCAGGTGGGGCCATGTGTATACGTTGGCTCAGGCAAAAGAGGACCCAGGACCAGACCCTTCTGCTGGACCACCTGGTGACTGCGTCTGAGGAGCAGCTGGTGAACTAGTGGGCCTGGCAGGTGGAGGATGTCTCCTGGCAGGAGGCTTGGTGCGTGGAGGACATAGGCCAGCAGGATGCTTTGGGGGCAGAGGACGTGGCCCGTGAGGAGGCAAGGGATCGGGCAGACCAGGAGTTCAGGGGGAGGCTTCTGGCCCTGGAGAAGCGCCACATTGAGGCCCTGGAGTGGAAGGCTGTGCTTATGGCCAGAGCAGTGGAGGTGATGGATGAGGACCGCTGGGTGCTGAACACCATCCTGGCCCTAGTGGTCACCTTTGTGCCACCTGCTGCTCTGGCCCTGGCTGCAGCCCTACCTGCCCCATGGCAGCTGCCCACTGCTCAGTACCAGGCCCCTCCCTGGGCCTGGGCGGAGTTGCTGTGCCCCCTCCACCAGGCAGGATCCCCTGCCCCGGCCCTTGCCCCAGGTTCACCCCTACCCAACCTCTGCTTGCCCCAGCTCCACATGGCTGTGGAGCAGGACCTACTTGTAGTGGGGCCGGGACTGCATACTGGTCCTGCTGCCCTTGGCCACTGGCTGCAGGAGGGGGACATGGGTGCTGGAAGAGCAGTGCCTGCTGTCATCCCTGGGTGAGCCCCCTACCTGCTGGGCTTGCTGTGGCATGCACATTTGTGGGGGAATGGCCAGAGGCTGGGGTGCTGGGTACCTGTCCCTAGGCTCCATCCCCTAGGCACCTCTGTCCCATGGCCCCTCATCCAAGAAGGAACATGCACAGCACAAGAGGTGGGGGTGCATGGGTGGCTGTCTAGGTAGGCTACAGCGGGGAGTGCAGGAGGTGGTGGTTGGCCAGCATCTCTCGCACCCATGGCCCAGGCCCCCATTGGCGGGTGTGCAGATTGTCCAGGGCCTCAGCCTGGGGATGGGGGGGAGGAGCCCATCTCTGTCACAGCTTGTGCTTCTGGCCAGGCATTCTGCCCACTGCATCTCCTCCACCCAGGCCTCTTGAAACAGCTCTCTCTAGACCTCATAGATGTTATGCAGCACACAGGCTGTGATGATGACCCAGAGGATTTTGGCCTCAGTGGCCTTGAGGCAGGTGGTGAGGGTGCTTTAGTGTCCCTTCAGCCGGCTGAAGGCACACTCAACAAGGGTGTGGGTCCAGTTCAGGCACTGGTTGAAGTGTGCTTGGCAGGGTCCAGCTGGCCAATGTAGGGTCACATCAGCTAGGGGAGGAGTGGGTAGGTGGGGTCCTCAATGGGGAGCAGCAGGACCATCACTGCACCGAGCTGGAGGTCCAGCATCCCTGGCGCAAAGCACCTGCTGTCCACCAGGGCTGGCAGGGCAGAGTTGTGGAAGATATGGGCATTGTGGGTGCTGCCTGCCCAGCTGGCACTCATGTTTGTGAAGGCGCCACAGTGGTCAACGATGGCCTGGAACATGATGGCATGAAAGCCCCGCCAGCTGTAGTAAGGGCAGTTGCCATGGGGTGGGCAGGTGATGGGGATGTGGGTCCTTTCTAGGGCCCTGATGCACTGGGGGAAGCACAGGGAACAGAACCCCACCACCACCTCCAGGGGGTTATGCATGTGGAGCACCAGGTGCCCCAGCATGTCCTGGAAGGTGCTGCACACCTCCAGGATGGCCTCCGCAGAGGTTGCCTTGCCCATACCAAAGAGGTGGCCAACTTACTGCAGGATGGCAGGTGTGGCCAGTAGGGCTGTGTGAAATGGAAGCGTTTTGTTTCAACCAGCGTTTCAACGTTTTGACAGAACAGTGTTTCATTTCGACTTTTGCTTCAAGTCAAAACAGGTGTTCTGTTTCGTTCCATCAAAACGTTTTGCTGTTTCGACCCTGTTTCGACGTTTCACCCATAGGATATAATTCGGAAGGTCAAAACAGGTTATAACTTTGTTATTTCTGGCCTGATTTGGATGAAACTTGCAAAAATGGTAGCTCCTTCTGAGGGCATGATGGCTACCAAGTTTCAAGAAGATATGAGCAGGGAGTTTAGAGAAACTGCATTCCAAAATCTTGAGAGCAAAACTCATGTCACATATATGTGTTAAGCCAGAGCAGGGTCAAAACTGCAGGGGTGGTAGCCCCAGCTGAGGCAACAAAGTCTGCCATGTTTCAAGGAGATAGGTGCAGGGAGTTCAGAGAAACTGCAGCCCAAAATCCTGAAAGCAAAACTTGTGTCACGTGTATGTGTTAAGACACAGTGGGGGCAAAACTGCAGGCTTGCTAGCCCCTGCTGAGGCCATGAAGCCTGCCAAGTTTCAAGAAGATTGGTGCAGAGGTTTGGGGGGAACTGCACCCCAAATTCTTGAAAGCAAAGCTCATGTCGTGTATGTGTTAAGCCACAGTGGGGTCAAAGCTGCAGGGTGGTAGCCTCTGGTGAGGCCACAAAGCCTGCCAAATTTCAAGGTGATAGGTGCAGAGGTTTGGGGGGAACTGCACCTCAAGCTGCAGACAAGCAAAACTTGTGACATGGGTGCTTCTGCAACTGTGTCTGTCTTGGGGCACGGGGGTGGGGCTGCCACAGGCCTGGCTGCTAAGCTACTGTGTTACCAGTTACCAATTAATCATGATTCACTCAGGGACCAGCTCAATACACAGTACCTAGCTACTACATAACAACTTAATGAGCATGGATTAACACCTACAAAACCACAGACAGACTGAGGAGAAGAAATAATCAATACAGACAATCAACTGCCCCAAGACAGACACAGTCAGTTACACAAGCACCCATGTCATGAGTTTTGTCTGTCAGCAGCTAGGAGTGCAGGGCCCCAGAGCCCTTGCATCTATCTCCTCAACATCTGGCAGGCTTTGTGGCCGTAGCAGGGGCTACCATCCCTGCAGCCTTGACCCTGCTGTGCCTTAACATACACACTGTCACCCTTGTCACAATTTTTACTTGTCCGCAGCTTGAGGTGCTGTTTTCCCCAAACCCCTATATTTATCTCCTTGAAACTTGGCAGGCTTTGTGGTCTCAGCAGGGGCTAGTGTGCCTGCAGTTTTGACCCCGCTGTGGCTTAACACATATACGTGACATGAGTTTTACTTTCAGGATTTTGGGGTGCAGTTTCTCCAAACCCCCTGCATCTATATTCTTGAAACTTGACATGCTGTATGCCCTCAGAAGCAGCTACCGTTTTGGCATGTTTTATCCAAATCTGTCCAGAAATGACAAAGTTATAGGCTGTTTTGACCCTCTCCATTATAGCCTATGGACAAAACGTCGAAACAGCATTGAAACGGCAAAACGTTTCGACTTGCCTCATTTCGTTTTGAGGCTATTCCAACCATATCTGTTTCATTTTGATTTTGCTGTTTCAACCTGGAAGCAGGTTGAACCAGCATCAAAACAAAACTGGTGGTGAAATTTTGCACAGCCCTAGTGGCCAGCTTGAGCAGGGTGAGAGCCTGCCAGGTGTACTCAGAGAGGGGCTGCTATATGGTGGTGTCCTGCCACTCCAGGTGTGGGTGGAGCTGCTCCAAGAGGTCTTAGAAGGTGGCCCAGGTTATCCAGAATGACTCCAGCCTCTGCTTGTTGGCCCAGGTGGTCTGGACAATGTGCAGCCACTAGTTCTGGCTGGCCGGGCAGGCCCAGAGGAGGCTGGGCTGGAAGCCAAGGAGGGCATGGATCACCCTGAGTGGCGTCCAGGAGTGCATCATTGGCATCCCTGCCAGGGTCTGGCCAGCAGGAAAGGGTCTGGCCAGCAGCTGAACAGTGGCAGGGGGCCTAGGACAGTGTAGTGAGGCTTGCTAGGCAAGTGCTGAGCATGGGGGAACTGGTAGGGCCCAGACTGCTCTGGGCCAGATGGTGGTCTCTGTGGTGGACCAGCAGGGCAAGCACCATGGTGACCAGGAGCCTGGGGAACTGGATGTCACTGCCAGAGCCAGTGGGTGGAGCAGCCATGGTGTGAGGGGGTAAAAGCTATGGTGAGAGAGCTGCTGCATGCTGCCCCTCAGCTCTGCACGCTGCTTATGGCCAGAAAAATGGCTGACAAGGGAACAGGGAGTGGGCTGCCTTTTAAAGCTGGCTGCCAGCCTCAGGCAGCCGTGGCTGGAGCCTCCACATCCCCCTGGTGGCAGCAGAGACCTGCTGTGGCCAGAAGAAGTGGGAGCAGTTTGCTGCTAGGAGCAGCAAATCTGCTTCCATGTCCCTGCACATGTAGACGTGTGCCCAGGAGTGTTTACTCTCAAGTAGTTTCCTTGAGAGCAAATGCATGTGTAGATGCGCCCACTGAGGATCACTGCAGATTGTACTTTGATTTCAATTGGTAAGCAACAGAACCTGCTCTTACCATATTTCTTGCATATAATGCACAATCAAATTTCCATTGGCTGGTTTTTGGGGAAAAGTCATGCGGGAGGTGGGAGGGGTGGGAACCAGTGGCTGATTGCTGATTCCCCCCAGTGGCCGATTGCTGACCCTGGAAACACTGGCGGCAAAACAGGAAGTGACAGCAGCAAAACCGGAGGTGCTGCCGGTGCTTCTCTCGGCACCCCTGCGCCCCGGCTGGTGAAGGCCAATCCCTACACATTGCCTATGGGAAAAGGTGTGTTGCATGCGAGAAAATACAGAAATGGTAGGCACTTTCTGTGTAGACAATAAAATTAATCTTTAAAGTCCTAGTGTAGTAGCTCAGGTAGAAGCAGTGTCCATGGATGCGTTTTCTATCTTCATCTGTAATGGGAAGACAAACACAGAACCCAAAAACACTTATACTATACTCTCCTTTCATGTGAATAATACGAGTACTGCATTGACTGAAATGGCTCCCAGCTTATTTCCAGGTGGAATTCAAGTTATTGGCTCTGACCTATAAAGGCCCCTGTGATTTAGATGCACTTGTATCACTCCTCATACCTTTGACTGAAAGCTGCAGCAGCAAGGCTGATAACACCTATATTTTTATGGTTGAGACTTAAGACAGGGCTGCATAGTTGTTCCCATCATTTCTGTTTTTATATCATCAGGGTTTTTGTATTGATATTAAATAAATTGGGTGATTTGAAAAAAATCATCCTTGTTAACATGGTTGGGCTGGGTAACTCATAAGCTTCATTGTCTGTGAAATATCTAGAGATTGAAGAGATATGGACATAAGTTACAGCTTTGAAGGCTGCTTGAAAAACTGACCCCTTCCATTCCAAAATGAACCCCTATTGTTTTAGGAACACTTATTAAATTATGGATCTGAGGTGGGTTTCTCTGGCACCATGCATAGAATTAGCATGCCTTGATGTGAGTAACTTATTGCCACCTGCACTTTTACTTTACCATGTAGAAAAAATTATTAGAAATGTGTAGGGGCTGATTTTCAAAATAAATGGATTGGCGCACACAAAAAATACAAATGCAATTGTGTACTTAAATGGTAAGCATAGTTACAGAGACTGCATATGCAAATCGGGCATTTGCTTGCACGGGCAGCCAACTATGTGCACAATTAGCCTTTTGTATGTGCCAGTATCTGTTTTGGGCATGCAACAGCAACAATTTGCATGCATTAATTTTTTAAATTCACGCCTTTGATTCTTACAAAAAGCCTTCTGATTTCCCTGACATCTGCCATTTGTTTTAACCACTTGAACTATTTCTAGTGCTAATCCAACAGGATGTAGTAAAGTAATGGAGTGATTAGCAATGACTTTCTTTTAGAAGAAACAGGGTGATGTGTCATTTTTTGCTTTGTATTTTTAGAGTGTGTTCTTTTGAGGGTGGGGGATGTGACTGCAACTTGGAAAGAAGCTGGCTAAGATCTAATGCTTCCCAAATGCTAGATTGCAGTGGAGCAGCTCCCATAGGAGATAAACAAGTTAGTCACTCGGTGAGCTCACAGCCACGGTATTTCAGCCTCCATGAGAATTTGTCGCAGCCCCTTCCTGGGATTCCAGTGTGTGCGTGTGTGTGTGTCCATGTGTAACAAGCTAAAGCCTGTGAAGGGGACCTTGAGGAAGATGTCTGTGGACAATCCTGTGTTCCTAGGAATGATCCACTATTGTCTAGCCCAACCACCTGTTCCTTTTCCTGCTTGTCATATACTTGGCTAAGTGCCCAGCCCTCTCTTTTGCTCCAGTGTTCTCAGCAGCAACAGTGCAGAAGTCTCAAGCTTAAAGAAAATCTTACTGGTTGTGTCCGTGATACAGATCCATCATCTTTCCCTTCTGTAAGCAGTAGGGACATCAGCTTGCAATAGCATGTTGTTACACTGCAGCAGAATGCCAGGGTGTTGCAACCTGATGATGTTTCATTGAGATGCATCATCATGGAGGGATTCTACAATGTCATGTTGATCCATAATGTCATGGTCCAAAGGTATTTCAGGATTCAGTCAAGCTGAGGTGGAGCCTGAGGGACAGAATGTGAGACTTACATTGATAAAGTTATGAAACCTATGACTCAGTGTATGAGACGCTCAACATATAAGGCTCAATATGCAAGTCTTTACTTAATCCCCCTCTCACCCCATTATCTCTTCTATCCATACATATCACAGGCCTTTGCAATGTTCATTTATGTTAGCTAGACCCAACAGGCCATAAACCAATGGTTGTAGACCTGCAGCTTCTGCTGAACAACGTTGCCATCAAAGACAAATTCAGAGAGAGACTGAAACAGATTCAGTAAGGCCTAGGTGACATAAATAATGAATACACATTTAGAGTGCAGAGATGTGGGCAACAGATTTATTATATAGCAGTAGTTTGTAAAGTCATCAAAACAACATAGAAATGGTAGGGGGTTGCTAGCATTTACATCATCATCATTTTAAAAGAAATGGTTTTCCAAATGTTTTTACAGCTCCACACGCATAATCCTGATTGTAGTTTCTGGGTGCTACAGAGTAATATAAATATTAAACGCTGTAATCTAAAAATTGACAGATAATTAATTGCACCAGGAAACAGTTATTATTTGAGACATTTCTTCTCCCCATGTCATTGAGACCATGTTGGTGTCTGGCACATGCTGTCTGCTGCTTAGACTGGAAGCAGTGTAGTTACAACTATGTAGTGGTAGAGGTGAGCTAATTATCATGGGATTGGGTTAATTGATGTCACTCAGCAGTGCTAATTAGTCCAGCTCTGATGCTGTGTAGACAAGGGTACACTCTTCCAGTTTAGAAGGCAACCCATGTCAAGCAGGATGGTGTGCTCGATGGCACAGTTGCTAGGCGTAGTAAGCTTGTGATAACATGGGGACTTTCACATGTCTGTGTCTGTCTCCATGAAGTTTCATGTGGGTCATTCTTATGTTCCTGGGCGGACACTGTATCAGCATCAGGATAGCCTGGAATGTGTAATTCAAAGCAGAGAAGAGGTCCATATATAAGGCATATGTTGCTAGAGCCTGGGGTTGAATATCACTACTACGGTCACAGATGGCACCATGGAGAGGTGAATGGTTGCCTCTAGGGTTGACCAGGACACAGAAACTTGCTATGGAGTACCCATTAAAACTCTGAACCTGGGAATTTTCTTTTTCCCCTGCCCCCCACTTTAAATTACTCTAATTTGATGCTAATACATGGGTCACAAGTTGTTTAAAAAAAGCAACTGCCTACACAATTCTTCTCTTTCCTTCTCTCAGTTGAGGACTAATGATTGGATGTTATATCCGGCCTCTAGAATTAGCCTCTTGCCTGGGAAAGACACTGACAGCCCTGTCTGCAGATCCATCACTCCTGGGTTCTGAGGTCAGCGGCACATCACTGGGCTGGTAGGAAAGCATTTCCATATCCTACAGATGTATCCTCTTTTTGGCTTACACCCTGTGCGACAGGTCGCCATGGAAAAGATAATTGTCTCCTTGTTTTACTTACATTTGCATTCTTGAAGGTCAAGTGACCAGCTCTGCATTATTACACAACCCAGTGTAATAAGCACCATGATTAAGAAGAAGACAGGCAGTCTGATTAAGAAGAGGACAGAGAAATTCTTCTTTCTGGGACATCAGTTCATACTTGGCCAAGATATAGCAACAGGGTGAAAACAATGCACAGTGATGACAGAAAAGGACTCGGAAACTGTATGCTTGACTGTACTCTTGTCTTGCTGGGCAACTTTGGCAAGTCACAATCCTCTCTGTCTACCCAGTTCCTTCATTTCTAAAATGCTGGTAATATGAAAGTTGCTCAGAAAACAGAATACTGTATCTATTCCCTGGTTTTGATTTTGATGAACATGTAAATTGGATGGTGCTGCTGTCCTGGAGGCAGGACAGGACCTGGCTCTGTGTGTCAGGTCAGTGTCCATGGATGCTGGAAATAGCACATCCATGCTCAAATGGTTCTGAAATCTGAGAAGTTACTTAGTTGCTGTCTTCTAAGACGTTCTAAGAGGAACAGGACCTGACAGGATCTGTCTGTCTGTCTATCTATCTGTCATGCTTGGAATTTTCATTGGAACTGAATCACATCAGAATACTAAAGCCAAGTGCCAAGAAAAATATGCATGCTTCAAAGCTGTATGAATGGAGTAGAAATGCCAGTAACCATTCATCCAGGGTTGGAGGATGAACAGCAGCACCTTTAGAAGGTGAAGGAGATGAGGTTCTTTGGGGATGAAATAACACTCAAGATGGTTAAACCTTTCCAGCAGGTTTGTTTGCCACCAGAATACATAGTTTCATCGACATCAAAATATCTGCTTATATTTTTGTCAATTTCGACAAAATTATTTTGTGGGGAAAAGTCAAGGAAAGCTTCATTGTGTGTGCAGGGTTGTAGTGGTGGTAAGCTTCATTTTCCCAAGAATTCACTTAACTGGTGGAAAACAGCAAAGAGAAAACTCAGGTCTCTGAGTAGGATGGATCTAATGGTGCCACATGTTCTGATACCAGTGATAGGGATGCAAGATAGATCTGATTCATCAGCATCCTTCTTCCAGTGATCCACAGGGTAGCAGGAAGGGGTCTCTGCCTATAGGGCTGAGCTTTCAATGAGAGGGTGTCCCACCACGTTCCCAACAAAAAAAAGCTTCCTGTTGGGGAGAAAGGCAGAGGGGGATCACCTAAAAAAAACCCCCAACCTGATCATCTATTGTCTGGAAAGGGCTGATTTCTGACATAGGGTCTGACATATTGGTCCAGCTGATGTCCACCTGTGCTCATTTCCTGAACCTGGAGATGGTATTTTTTATCTCTTTGAGTCTTTGAAAACGTCTTTCTGCTTGCCAATAGAAGTGAAGCACTAGTTAAGTAAATCCAAGGGGATGCTGCATGAGGCTCTGATACTGCTGGATCACAGGAGAGGGAAGTCCATTGTACAATTAGTCTTTACAGCAGACTTGCCAGGTTTGACTTGCATGGATCAGGTAATTGTTTTGATGGGCCAGCAACATTTTCTGCCTTTTCACTACCTTAGCATAGGGGAGGTGGGGAGGTCTTGTACCTGGATGGCAAATTTTCCTGGCAGTTTTGCGAGGGCTGATATAGCCCTACAGACAGATCAGCACAAACCTCACTCATGGCTAAAGCAGCTGTGCACCAGCACAATCAGAGAGCGTGTTTCCCTACCTATGATCCTGCTAAGGAGTGCCTGAATGAAATGAACACCAGAGCCTGAAAACATGGAATGTAGCTGCTGTTTGGCATGTGCCCAGCGTGTGCCCTGCCCACTTTTAGTCTCTCAGTCTTGCCAGTGTTTACTGGCATGCACCCACCACTGCTCCAGTGGGAATGCTATCAGATCTTTACAGCATTTGGTGCTTTCCAAGTGGGAGCAAGTGGGTGAAGCACCCTTCATGGCAACACTATGAGGTGTGTTGTGGATGCCATATAGACAGACCCACCACACCCCTTCCAAAGCCCATTGGAATCAACGGGTGTCAGCCCACTGACTACAATGTGTGTTTTACTTTAAGCTCATAGGAAGAGATGATCTATTATCAATGTAGGCTCAGGACCCTGAATGTGACCTGGGCCAGTTTCTCAGAGATACAGGGTCTTGCTATTCAAGAGGTTTTCTCTGAGATGCACTGCTCTGCCATTGGACTCCCTCCTCTCCTGTCACCATGGAGACACAATTGCTTATTTATTTGTGTTGGTTTTTTACATTTAATTTAATTTATCTTCCCTCCCATTTTTGTGTTACTCGAAGGAAGGAAGGAAGCCCAGGCTCGGATGTTTATTCGTTCTGTCCTGGCTGATGTTCCCTTGGTCTCACTCCAGTGGCCGATAAACTGGCAGGGAACTGGAGCGTGGAGCACAGCAGAGCCTGGGAAAGGTCAGGACCCTGCTCTCCCCCCGTCCTTGCGTCATGGCCCCTCTATGATTAGCTCAGCCTGGGGGATGCTCTCTCCCAGCACTCCTCACACTGGACATTCTTCTTCCTTTTGCAGTTTTCCAGGAGAGTTGATAATGAATGTCACCCTGGTGTCTGGGGGGATAAGCAGTGAGCACGAAGTAGAAAGGACGATGGAAATACCTTTCAGCAGAGCCCATTCCACTGCAGAAGCTCCTAGAACTCCATCCAGCCTCTGCTAAGGTTTAAATTAGGGAGCTTCTTCCTGGGTGGCAGTTTGGTCTCGTGATTAGCACAGGGACTTGGGAGACAGAACTTCTGGGTTATCTTCATGGTTCCACCCCTAACAAGCAGTGCATGATTTCACACTCCTTCCTCAAGAGGGGTGCTGGAGGTCCTGTTTCTATGCTGTAAAGCCATGGAGTTCTTTCTTCTAAAAAGCTTAATTTTAGGGCCTAGTACCTTGAAGAGACTGTTCTCTGAGAGAGAGAGAGAGAGAGAAAGAGAGACTGCATAAAGCCTAGAGGCAGTCAAGCTCTAAAATGTCCCAAGCTTAGCAGTTCGTTGCTAGCATGGCTGAAGAACACCAGTTTCTGTAACTGATAACACACAAGGGGGTGATGTGGCTCTCATCATCTACTGTCTTTGACTCCTCAGCCCAAATGATCAGATACCCAGCTGCAACCTTCAGCACCTATTCAGAACGAGGCCCAAACTCCTGCTTTTGGATCTGTAGCATACCTGAACCAACCTGTCACCACTCCCCATTTTGGAGGTGAATTATATCCCACAACTCCAAGACAACAGGGCTTAGACAACACTGTTATTCCCCTTGGTGCCATATGTTTCCCTCACTGTGCCAAAGTGAAAGTCATCTCCTGTGCCTCAGTCTTCCCATCTGTGGAAAGCAGATATCTACCCATTTTGTCAAGTCCTTTAACATTTGGGGTGGGGGGTGGTGATAAAAGCCATATAGTATTACAATGTATTATTCAGCTGGGTAAAGGGGTAGTGGCAGAGTAGTGAAGGCTTCCTGCTGTGCCTCCAGAAGCCTGAGGTTAACCCTTGCTCTAGGTCTGTGCTGAAGATAGTCCCTAGCAGACCC